CCCCAAAACCCCAAAACCCCATTTGGCACGAATTCCTGGATTTTAAATTTCTTTAAATATCAAATTATTAAAGTGAAATAAAATGAATAATATTGCAAGTTAGCAGGATAACCCTAAAAAAAGACAACCCTAAGTCATTAATACTCTTATTAACTAGGACATAGTATATTAATTAGAATCAAAAAGTAACTTTAAGCTTTTAATAGTTTAGATTATCCGTAAACATCAGCTAATAATGACATCTCAAACTCTGAGGTAGTAAAATGACAGCTCAGTAATGAATCAGAAGCAAACCTAACTGATATACTTTAAAATTTGAAATAAGTGGTTACCAATAAAAATCGAAAGCATATTGCTTTTAATTCATAATCAAGGGTATATAAGAAAGGATAATCATAAAAGCTTAATAATGCTGGAAGATAAATGGTTGGTATTAGTCATGATCTCAATGTATTGGGAAACTTAAATGGTCATGATAATAATAACAACAATACAAGTAGCAATATAACAAGCTAAAGCAATATAAATAAATCTTTCAGAAGTGGAGCAATCCATAAGTTTCCAGTTAATAATAACTTTTTTAGTCCAAATTATGCTGGTTAAGATGATAATTATCTTAGATAACTGCTGACTCCCTCTGTTAATGGGTATAATTACACAAGCGAACAGACCTGTCTTCAGAGTCCTGATGACCAGTTCTAAATGAATTTTATGATGCCTCCTTCAGGATAAACAGGCAATTTTAATAACAATTTTATGATTGGAAATCCTAATTAATCCTAAGTTGGCCCAAATAGTTTTACTTCTGGTCCAGGATTAAACAACATTAATATTATCAATTAGGCTAATTCTATTAATAACAATATCAATTTAAACAATTCATTTCTGAGTGGAGGAAGTGGAAATGGAGGAGAGGGTTTTGTTTAAAAAAGCTTTTAATATATGGCCTCTAAAAAAGCAGCATCCATGCTAAAATAATATTCAAGCAATATTTAGAATTAAGTTTCTAAATCAAATGAAAGACCACTTGGCAAGAAATCATCTTAAAGTTAAATTCATGTTAATAAGAGTTTTGCAAATCAGATTGGATCAGTCGGGAAAATAGAACCTCCACAAGTTCCAGCAGCTCCTAGATCTAAAAGCTAATTTACTAATGCTTTAAACAGCAATAGTAATCTAAATAACAATCATTAGGTTAGTTAAAATAAATTAAAGAGTTACTTGCATGTTATTTAGTCCAGTACAAAATTACTTACAAAGAATTCTAGTCCTTCCAATTCTAAGGATCGAACAAAACCAATAAATTAGAGCACTAAGCATTATTCTAACACCAATAAGATTCTTGAAGGACTTGTAAGCAATTTTAAGAAAGCTGCACAGAGTAAGATAGCTAATTAATAAGCGAATGGTAGAAGGGAAAAAGATGTGATCGTAAGGAAAAATTCCTCAAAAAGTTTTCTCAATAAAAAGGAGTCTACCGGAAGTAAAATATTGAACATGACTGATGTAGATATTAAGATTGATTTCGACTAGTATAATAAACTAAATATTACTCAATCTAGCCAGGATAGCAAATCTAAAACGAGACAAGAGCTTAATTCAACCCAAGTAAATTGGAAAATGAATTTAATTCCAGGATAACAAACAAAAATATCAGATTAAGCAGGATAAAAGAAGGGTATCAATATACAACCAAGGCTTCCTGGATACATCAGCAAGGTATAAAACATCATCAGAAAAAATAAGGTTAATTTTAATTAGCAATAGTAGCAGCATCTCAATCTTAATTAGACTACGAATTCAAATATTGCAAACAATGACTACAGAAACTTTAACAATTATTTAAATTCTAATGAGAGATCACCTAGCATATAAAATATAGGAGCGGATACTTTCAATGTAAATGACATTCAGAACTCTATGATATAACCCTCATACTAGGTAATATAACATGAGACTAATTCAACTTCTAATACTGAGAATAAAAGATTCTAAATTAACTTTGAAGATTAGTAATCTTTTAAGCCAAGATTAAATAACGAAACCCCTTAATTGAGAATTAATTTGCCTAGTTATACTAGGAGAACAAATAAGAATTAATCAGATTCTTCAAATTTACCAAGTTAGTACGCTCATCAAAGCACAATGGGAAACTCAGTTGCTAAAAAGACTCTTAATATGACTCATAACATTAATGAATCTACATTATTCGAAATGAATCATACATTAAACCTCAATAGAAATGGTTAATATGGAGGTAGACATAAGAAAAATATTTTAAGCAACAATACTAATGCTTCAGCCAGGAACAACTATATGATGAATATAACCTAACTTCTCAAGGATAATATGCTGGAAGAGGAAGGTGTAGAAGATGTGCATTTTTATTAAGTGGCTTTCATTAATCATAAGTAGAAGATACTCAGAAAAATGGAACATGCCGCTATGCTAGAATAGATGAAAAAAGAATTGTATGAAAAAGGCAAAATTGATCAAGATAGAGATTTAAAGAAGAGCAAATTAAGAAACAAGCCCATGAAAAACCTCTAAGACATTTCAGACTAACTAATTAAATAGGAAGTGAAAACAATAGAATCTGTAGATGAACTTGAAATTTTGTGAAAACAATAGTCATAAATCATATCAATCGATTATGAGCTTAAATATGTATATAGTTAGAGAGAAAGTATAAGTGAAACACTTTGAAAAATTTTGATTAACTTAATATATTACATAATTAAGAAAACCCTTATATTAACTATTTATACTCACATTACAATTCTTCATTAGTTCATTATAAAATTGAAAGGACTGTGAAAGCTATAATCCCAAGACTTAAAGCCATATTTTAAATTGAACCTCCATAAACATAGAAGGGATATAGTATATTTCTTGGTAGGGCCTTAAATGGATTAGGGGTAGGAGGTGCATAAAAATTCTCGTCTTAATCTACTTCATAAAATTGTAAGCTAAGGATCGCTTAAAAGTCTTGACCCTAAGTGGGATCTGGCTTTTTGTAAACCCAGGCATTTAAAGTGTCAGCGTAATGTACAACTTTTACAATTTAGTATTATGGGTCTGATCGTGTGTTTATCTTTGAATAGAATATCTAAACGAAATAGGCAGAAGGTAGAACACAGGTGCCACTAGGCTCATCCCAGGATGCAGTGATTAAACTTTTATCTTTCTATGAATCTACTGTTGCTTAAACCCAGTCTGATAGATAGTGGGGATTAGAGTTACCAAATCTACCTACATATTTAAGGAGTTAGAAATTCTGGAATAGCATCATGTTCTGCCAAGTTTTATTGCTGCAAAAGTTTATCAATTCTTGTCTCGTTAGATTTATTTTGCACCCATAAATAGTTGAATCATCAAACGATAATATAGGGTCATCCATGTAAAGATTTTCAGAGGGTGTCTCAATTGTGTAATTTGTGGTATTCAATCCTGTTTATAAAGATGTTTTCAAATTATAGCACATTCCATGATTATCTGCTCCTCTGATTTTAAATCCTCCTTTGGTCATATTAATATGTTATCCTTAAGTAGCATTTGCAGATGTGCCAGTTAATAACTTTTTACCTTTGATATATCCAGGACCTCCAGAATTTTTCCTTGAATATATTGATTACTTGAACTTGATTGAATTCTTCTAAGTTATTTGTACATTAACAGTACAATTTAGTGGTGTAAAGTGACCATAAATTAAATCAACTGTGATATTGTTAATTTAACTTTACACCCCAAATGAGCTATTAAAATCTGTAGAATATACTGTATAATGAGTCTCAAGTAGCAAATAATCGCAGCTACAATCAGTACTGTTATAAACTGAATCATGAAACACTGTTGAATCGATTGGCATTTCTGTATAATTATTTAGAGAGAATTTCCTTGAAATGCCAGGTACTAGAGTAGCGAATGTATTTAATGTTTAATCAGTTGAAACTTGTAGACTCAGAGCTTTTACAGATGGAGCTAAAGTACTTCTGCAAAATTACTACGTCATTGGTTGAGGAATATATCCGCACTCCTCTTGATCTTAATCTTGCAAATATTTGATGCTTCGTCCTCTTCCGCATAGACCAAAAAGATCTTTTCTTTCTAAGTAAAGTTTCTTATCTTTATTATATTATCTCGTAGTATCTGATTAGTTTCTATAGCCAAGAAGTGGCTCCATAGCTGAATATCCTTAAAGCTGTTAAACGGTTGATAATTGCTGTGTTTAAGGATATTAAGGATTCGTGACTGTTGTAAGTGATAGAGAATTTTTAGTTGTATTAAATTGAGCAGCAGTACCAACTGAGCGCTAATTATCATAGAATGAGCTTACTGTCTCTCTGGAACTAGATGAGGTAACACAAAAGAGAGCTCTGATGTTTTTATCATAGACTTTTAATCCATCTTAAAGATCATCTAAGCCTCCTGTAAAAGTTCTATCTAAGCATTGACTGAATGTTAAGATTTTTTGATCATTAATTTCATCTAAACAGTAATTTTTGCTTAATCTCCATTATGAGACAGTGGCGGATGGGCAATCTGAGTCACAACAGCATGCAATATCACATCCTCCAGCGGTCAAATCACAAGTGCAGGAACTGAAACTGCCTGAAGCTGATATACCAACTGATTGGCCAGTCTTTGTTGATATACTTGATACATAGGTTGAGTCAGTATATGGTAATGAACCCAAAGCCTGTGAGGTGAAAAGCATTGCAAAAATGAAATGAGACTTCTGAGTTAGTTTCATTTTCAATAATTTGAATTTAAATTTTTAATTCTATAATATTCACATTTTGATCAGCTTTATGGGGTTTTGGGGTTTTGGGGTTTTGGGGTTTTGGGG